GTAGGTGCATCTCTCCATGAATGTTGAACCCATTCCACGAGGGTCCTCTGCCTGGGGATTTCTGTGTTGGTGCTGAGAGGAAGTTATCCTCAAACCCAGGGCACAACGGGGGGTTGACTGAATGGTGGGGCTTCAAGGCACTGCCCCCCCCAGTGGCCGTGTCCTGCTGCCCCCACCTTGGTACTCTTTCTCTGGGTAGAAGCTCTGCCCTGGCTGCAGTGATACCCCCCCCCCAAAGATGCCCAGCAAGCCACTTTCTGCAGCTTGGCTGGCTCCTGTGAGTCCCAGGCTCTGGGTCTCTGGGCTGCCGCTTGCTGTCTCCCAGGCTCCACCTACACACACACACACACCCAGACTGGCTGTAGATGGAAAGTGATGGGTCTGTTGCTGAATGTGATGAATCATAAAACTTCTTGGGCCCCTTCCCTCACCACAGTTCATTCACTCAACACTCCCACTGTGTTGAGGTGTGTTCTCGGGGCCTCAAATGGATTATCTCAGTCCTCACAACCTCCCTGGGAGGTTGGTGCTGCTTTCATCCCTATGATACAGGTGAGGAAACGGAGGCTCAGAGAGGGGAAGTGACTTGACCAAAATCACCCAGTTAGTTAAGTGGTATAGTATACACAGCCATTCTCTGTCCACTGCCCTGGATGTGGAGTGGTTCTGCCCTCCGGAGTTTCCAGCCTGGTGCAGACGCAGACTGAGTAAGGAGCTAGCGGCTTGTGTAGGACCTCGTATGGGGAGCTCGGTGCATTGGCCTTTGTAGCCTACAGCCCGAGGTGGGACTCAGAAGCCTCATCTGCGAAAGCTCCCAGTGCAGAGTGAAGTCCGCCACCTTGGGCAGGCATCTCTTGCTCCAAACAGCCCAGGGAGTTTTAGGTCCCCTTGCCCCAGGAAAGGAGACGAGGGATTGGCAATGCCACCCAGATTCGAAAAACTTGAGAGCCCTTTACTGAAGCTCACGGTCTAAAACACCCACTACCCACTTTGGCATTATTTTTGAAATTTTTCTGTTTCTTGAGCACCTGCTGTGTGCCAGGCACAGCAAGCGGTGGCACATTCTCTTAATAAAAATGATGATGAGCAAGAGGAATTTTGCTATTCATGTAGCTCTTTACACAATTATCTCTTTTGAGATATGAGCCCCATTTTACTTAGGCTCAGAGAGGTGCAGTCACTTGCCTGAGGTCATACAGGCAGGTAGAGCAAGTGCCGAGGTTGGAGCCTAGGTGGCCTCGGGGCAGACCTCTACTTAATTTCTCTGGACCCAGTTTCACAGGCTCTTGAGACACAGCGAGTCTTAAAAGAGGTGAAGCAAACCAACATTTACAGAGCCCTTTCTATGTGCCAGGCCCCATGCATTCCTCTACATTATCTCAGCTAATCCTTGCAACAACCCCACAGGGCAGATACTAGTATTAATGCAATTTGATAGAGGAGGGAACTGAGGTTCAGAGAGGTTAACTGGTCCGAGGGCACAGTGTTGGAGCTGGGGTTTGAACATAGGTCTAATTCCGAGCCCAGTTTCCTTCCTCCTCACCCAGTGGTTTCTCTCCTTATCCTCTCCAGAGCTTTCCTTTTGGCTGTTGTAGTCCAGTCCTGGTGTATTGTGAGTGTTCATCCAGTTTAGGGAGAATCAATGTGGGTGAACTCTTGAGGATGAGAAAGGCAGTTGAGGTGACTTTCTCCAATAGTCAGCAGAGGGCGCCCGTCCACAGCCATATTTCCAAAGCTGTTTCTCTCTGAGTGGCCACTTGGGTGCCCCAGGAGAGCCTGGAGATTGGGTGTGGCTCACAGGAGCCCTGCTGCATGTTTGGTCCATCCTCCTTGGCCCTCAAAGAAACGTGCCCCTATGGGACCCACCCATCCAAAAGGGCCTAGGTGCAAATAGGACCCCCACTTTATAGATAAGGAAGTGAAAGCTGGGGATAGAAGAGACCTACCCAGGGTCTCAAGGTGGTTGCTGGCTGTCTTGGAGAGTGAGATTTGCCAAGCTCCCAACCCATGCCTCAGCTGGGCCTGATACAGAGGAGGGAGTCATGTTGGCCTCAGAGCCTGTTTCCTCCACTTCAAACTGGGGTACACTAACATCGCAAGAGATAGTACAGTGGGGATGGGAAACCACTCTCATTGGGCGTTTACCATGTGCCCCACGCTAAACTTGACCTCCTCCACAAATCTCACTTAACTCTCACAACAGGCTATGCGCTACTAGTCCCCTCATATAAATGAATAACCAAGACAAAGAGAGGTCAGTGAACGCACACGAGGCCACACAGCTGGTAGCCCCGCACCACCATCCAAACTAGCTTTTTCTACTTCATGAAAACAAATGAGGGGCCCCAATTACTCTTCTGTGCTGCCCCAGATACCATGACATGAACTAGCCTGTCCTTGCCTCTTTTCCCCTGGTTTTATTTATGCACCAACTTTTGGGCATCTACTGTGTGCTGGGGCCCCTAAATTGGGAGCTGTTTGAGGACAGCAACTGTGTCTTATTTAGTAGTCACTAAGTCCCCTCCTGTGTACTGAGCTCTCTCTTTGGTCCAGGGGACCCAGAGTAAGAAGATGTCATTGGCACTTAGGTGTGTATCAAGCAAGTGAATAGAAGTGAAGCAAGGGGCAGAACCTGGGGGAGTTGGTGGAACCCACCGAGTTACTTACACACACACACACACACACACACACACACACACACACACGAGGCTGGTTCAGTGAGAACAGAGGCAGCTGCCTTTTATTGGGGGCCATGAGTTGGCTGGCTTCACTCAAAGGCCACACACTTGATCTTGAAGTCACCCTCTGCTGCCAGGTAGTTGATGGCCTCCAGATTGAGGCGGTTGGGGAACTTGAATGTGTTTCCATCTGGCAGCTTGATGGTCAGGTCTGTCTGGTCGAAGGAGATGCACACCTGAGGGGGGTGGGGGTCGGGGCATGAAGGGCAGTGAGCAGCGTGGACCCCCAAGCAGAAGCCTCAGTGCTTCCAATGCCATGGCCTACAGGCCAGGGGCCCTCCCAGAACCCTTTCCTCCTGTAGCCCTGACAACAGCCCCACTTCATGGGTGAGGCCGCTGAGGTTGGTAGAGGGAGATAACGCAGCAGATTGGGGGGAGTGGGGGGGTGGAGGAAGGGCAGGGTGGGACCTAGGTTACTAGCCACTAAACCCAGCTCTGCCCCAGCCCACCCAGTGCCCTGCTCCAGTCCCCAGTCCCCAGCCCACCTCTGCGACATTTCCAGGCTGGAAGGGAAAGGCAGACTCCCGCTGTTCAGTCCCCCAGGCCCCGCCATCCTTGCTGTTACACACAATGGTGTTAATGTCCCCATGTATATCGAAGCGAGGGTTGAAGTGCAGGCACACGTTGTTGCTGTCTTTGCCCAGGTTCAGCACGAAGCTAGGGGGCAACAGGTGGGATTGAGGCCAGCTGCAGCCCCCTTGGACTAACTAATCTGTGCCACTCAGTACACCATTAATGCATCTAGCTGGGAGAACTCATTTAGCCAGGAGAAAAGAAACCTGGATTCTAGCTCTGGCCCTACCACCCCCTCTTTGCTGTGTGACCTTGAGCTAGTACCTGCCCCTCTCTGGGCCTGTTTCGTCATCTGCACAACAGGGACTGCACAAGAAGGATCTTTATGGGTCTTGCTGTGCTGATGGCCAAGACCCTGTCCCAGTCCCTCTGGTCAAGGTCGGAGACTCCCTCCAGATGGTGACCTCTGGGAGGACAAGTGTCTCTCATCTGTCTTGTATATCTCTGTACCTCTGGTGCTCAGTATGATGCATGATACACAGTAGGTACTCAATAACTGAGGGGAGGATGAACAAATCACATTGGCTGATGGAGGTAATAGCAATCCTTACCCCTGAGGGTTTGGTAAGAACGAAATGAATAGTGAAAATAAAAAAAAAGAATAGTGCATGGGAGGTGTGCAGCTCTTTGGTAATGTCAGCTGATCATCTCATCTCGTGGGCTGAGAGTTCCAGCATCTCACTTCCTCCATACATCCACTAACCCCCTTCTTTTGGTTTACTGATTAACAAACTGAAGCTCAACGTGGTTGGTTGACTAGCCCAAGGTCACAAGGCTGCTGAGAAAATAGGCCAGCTAGCTGAATGAATGAGTGAAGGAAGGACTGCAGGAATGAAAGGTTGAGAATGCAGGAAGAGGGACCTCGGAGTAAGAGCAGTGGGGATGATGCCCCCTCTCATTCCTTCTCCCTGCCCTGCCCCCACCACTGCCTCAGGTCCCGCCCAGAGTTGGGAGGTGGGGGACAAGCCGAGGTAGATGATGAGGCCGCAGCTGGTTTAGTTTAAGAGGCTCCAGCAGGGCGGGGAGGGGGTGACAATGGTGGGGGCATCCAGATCCTGGAGGAAGTGACTCACTCTGAAAACGCAGCCTCAGCGGCCGCTCGAATTAACCCCTTTCTTCCTCCGCCGGAGGGTGGGGAGGGGCGGGGCCTGGCCGGCCACGCCCCTACCCGACTCGGGACTGGACCCTCGGGCTCAGAACCCCATCCCTACCGCCCGCCGCCCCCGCCCCCTCACCTTTTGGCGTCGGGGGCTACCTCGCCCCGCACTCTGAGGCACTCCCCAGGTTTGAGATTCAGGTTGCTGGCGACCAGACCCTGCGCAGACAAGACCCCGCCCAGCTGGGTTAGCCAACTCTAGAGTCCGGGTGAGTGGGATCGTCCCCATCCCGGATCCTCAGGCCAACTGGAAGCGTGGGGAATCTGTGTGCAAGTTCTAGCCTTTCTTTCTGTGTGGTCCTGGGCAAGTCCCTACTCCCAACCAGGTCAGTTTCCTGTCTGTAACAAGACAAGTTCTAGAAGCCAAACTAGAAGTTTTTGCGGTTCGGCTTGATTTTGGATTCAGAGTGGCCTGGGAGATGGGGTACTGTGCCCCATTGCTTCATGTAATAGCTGGAGAGAATCTCATGTAATAGATGGTGAGTGAGGGAGTTAGTGGCAAAGGAAGGTGAATGGAGGGGTCTGCCCCTCTGCTGAAGAGGAAGGGGGCTGGGGCTGACAGAGCCCCACTATCCCCTTCAAGCAGAGAGGCGCAGGGGCTGGAGAGGAGACCCCAAGGAGCGCAGCCAGGCGCCTCTACAGAAGGGAGGCGGGCCTTGGCCTGAGTCTGCAGCCTGGCTGGTTGGGGGTTAAGATTGAGCTCACAGCTTCGCTGGATGTGAGTGGTTCCTTGGGCCAGAAACTTGAACCCTTTCCCTGGGGGCCTGAGGAAGATTCTTGCCTTCTTCTTTCTCCCTTAGCACCACCCCCTCCCAGCTAGGCAGAGTGGGTGGTGGGGAATTCCCCTAACTCCCACCGGACCAGCCTGGACAGAACCACCCTCCAGCCACTAACGGAGGCGGGCCCCTTCTTGGGCAGCCTGTCTCAGATCTTGGCAACTTTTCAGAGCTCTCTAGAGCAGAGGGTGATTGCCCTGGCCTGATGACGGGACAGCTGCAGGGGGGGAGGGGGGAGAAGAGAGAGAGGGGGGAGGGGACAGGAGGTTCTTTAGGGTAGAAGAGAGGGAAGGGGCAGTGCCTTGGGCTTCATCAAAGTTCTCCCACCCGAGGTGGCCACACCCTTCCTACTCCTAACCCAGAGAGCTGCAGAATGACAAACCTTGGCAGAAATAACTGTGCTGTCAGACTCTGGAGAAATCTAGAAAACTCTTAAGCCAGAGAAGGCCTTGGGGGACCATGGTGCCCACCCCATCTTAGAGACACGGCCACTGAAGCCCAGAAAAGAGAAGGCACTTGCTCAAGGCCACACCGTAGGGCCTAGAACCCAGACCCTCATCTGCCCCCACTCTCCCCAGCTGTCTGCCCTCACACCATGCCGGGCCTTGGGTCGGGGTCCCCACACTCACACAAGCCATGGCGGAGTACAGGAGGATGGTCCTGGGAACTGCGGAACCAGCTGTCTGAAGACTCCACCCGAGAGATGGGGCCCTGGGCCTCTCCCACCCTTTTAACTGGACCAGACCCCTGGTGAGTCCCGCCCCGAGAAAGATCAGCCAATTGTAAGCCAGGACAAGGATAGGGGCCACTGGAGGCGGAGTCAATGGGATTTTGAAGCCAGTTCTGGAGCAGAGCTGACCAATCAGAGTGGTGACCCCCACCATTCCTACTTAGCAACTCCCCCAGGGTCCAGGCTCCACCTCCCATTCTCTTTCATCCTTACCCACCCCACACCAAAATTGTGCTGTGGCAGGGATTGGGGGAAGCCAATGGAAAATAGTTTGAGGATGAGCTAGGCCCTGGAATTGGCGGGAAAGGGCCTAGGGCCAGCAGATTGAGCTCAGGGGGTACCCAGAGAAGACCAATGAGGGGGTGCACGGTACTTCAGAGAATTATAGCTGGGGTTCCTGAGGTTGCTCCCTGGCAGGGACCAGGGTGTGACTCCCTCTGCCGGCCTCTGCAGAGGGCCCAGGACCCATCAACCACAGGCCCGAGCCCCACCCGGGCCTCCGCGGAAGCAGGGATTGTGGCTGCCGCCGCAGCGCGTGTGCTCCTCACTAGTGCTAAAGAAAGAAAGGCTGGGCAGGATGCCAGGTCTGAGGCCGCTGCCAGGGTTCAGGTCTCAAGACTGGGCCCTCCTGAGGGGCCTGCTGGGGATCTTTTAAGAGCCCCTGCTTGACAGCCTCTGGCGTGCCTGAGAGGATGAATCCTGGGAGGGGGCCCAGGCTGAGCCAGGCCATGAAGAGTTAGGGTCCCCTGCTCTGTGCATCTCCGTCCACTTTCCTCACATTCTCCCTCCGAGGCCAGGCACAGCTCTTCCTTTGCCCATCTCTAGCAGATATTTTACTGAGCACCTACTGTGTGCCTGGCCGTGAGCTGGTCTGAGAGCATTCAAAGATGGAACTCTCCAAGTTCCTGCTCTCAAGTAGCCCACTGTTAGGGCAGACTCTGGCTATGAACCTAATGAAGAAATACTATGATGTTGGCTCTAGGGGAAGTCATGAGCAAAGCATCATGGTAGGATGGAGACTGCCCAGAATGTGAAGGTGAGTCCTTAAAAATGGGTGAAGGTGGCGGGCTGGCATTCCAGCCCAGGCAGAGGCTTCTAAATGAGAAAGCACAGATCTGGGGAACAGCGAGCATCTGGGCATGGATGGAGTTCAGGGTGTGTTAGGGAAAGATGGGGCATGAGGCTGGGGGGGTCAACAGTATCTGGATCGTGAAGGGCCGCATTGAGAGGCTTGGACATTGTTTCATCTGAGAGTGCTGGGGAGCCACAGAAAGTTATAGAGAGGGTGAGTATTGAGGCCAGGTTTGGGCTACAGGGATTACTGTAGCAACAGAGTGGGAGGGGAGGTATATGTGGAGATGTTCTCACCTCACACCCAGGAACCAGGTAGAGAGAAGGGCGTGGGGAGCACTGGGCAAGGTGGGAGGCTTACTAGGGGAGTTTCAATGGGACCTCCTTCTCCATATCACTGTCCCCCTTCTGAAACTTCCAGCATCAATGTGGGAGGAGGACGTGGACCAGGAGTGACTCACATCTGGAGGCTAGGCCAGCAAACCCGCCCTGTCCTCCGATGCTTCCCAGTCCAGCCTCCACTGTCCCCCACCCCACAGGCCACCTTCCTGCAGATGATTGAAGCCAACCCTGGCACAGGAGGCATGGGGAGTGCATGGGACTGCGAGGCAGGCCTAGAAGAGGGGGCTGGTCCCCACCCCATGAGCCCCTTACCCCTCCTGCCAGACCAAGCCTGCTGCCTCAGAAACCAACCACAGCAGCTTCACTTTTTCCTCCAGAGCCTTCTTCAAACCTCAGCCTAGGGA